TCAGATCATTTCTGAGATGAGAGCTTCTTAATTGGAAGCTTTCAGTTATTTTAATAGGATAAAAAAAAGACAAAAGTTCCAGAACAGAAGTTCCAGCAGTGAAATGGGATTTTAAATTATGCTTTTAAGACATTCTTGAGACAAAAGCTGTGAAGTTCATTTCCACAGTCTCATCCTTGGTCAGAACCTTTCAATTGGGATTAAATTATGTTTCAGCTATGTTAGGTAAACACACACTCTTCAGAAGCTCAAGCAAGGAATGTGGATTTTTTAACTTTTTTAAAAAAGTAGTTAAAGATTTCAAGATTATTTTACAAGAGATGGCATCTATATGCAAGCCAGTTACAACAGAAAAGTAGCTTGAAAATGTATTAACATTTTTTCCTGAAATTTCCTCTGGTGTCATTCTCACTCCAGACTTTCCTGCTATACCTAGTATTGAACAACAGATGCTTATGTTCTGGGTGTCAGCAGTGCTGCCCAGATTATCAGATTGTTTTAGGTAATAGGAAGAAAACAATTCTGTAGACTCATTGTACACGTAAACAACCATGTAAAGATGATCACTGAAGGGGACTGTCAATGGTAAATAATTTGCAAAAGCGAGCTATAAGAAGACAAAACATTTCAGAACTAGAGATACGTGCATGATGGAAGTCACACGTTTATGAATCAATAACTAACGGAGAATCCAAAGAACCAATGCTTGTGTTGAAATTTTACTGGTAAATATGATAAAGATGAACAAGATGAAGATGGGCAGAAGATAGAATAATACTCCTCATTCCTTGGAAAGACTTCAGGATGTAAACATTAGTTTGTACAGTGGTGCCTCATATAACGAGTGCCCCGTTTAACGAAGAATTCACATAGTGATGGCATTTTTGCCATCGCTTTTGCCATCGCATACCGATGTTGCCTATGGGGAAAAATCGCTTTGCAATGTTTTCCCCATAGGCACCATTTTCCCCCAGCTGAGCGGTGGGAGCCTCTGAAGGAGCGCTCCCGCAGCTCAGCTGGGGGAAAATGCCTGCGGTGGCCTCGTAAGGACCCTTCCCTGCGGCCGGCTTCCCTGGCCATGGTCGGACTCTCAGGAGTCCAACCATGCATGGGGTAGCCTGCCGCGCGTCGGATCCAAGCTGCGGGGAGAGGGTGGGGGGATCCGGATGTGAGCCGCGGTGCCTGCCAAGGAGTCCGGCTATGCCTCCCACCCACCACCCACCTCCTGCGGCTTGAGAAGGGTGGGAGGCATGGCCGACTGTGCTTGCAGCACCGGGCACCTCTTCCGCTGCTGCAAGCACAGTCAGGGCAGCCCTTTGGGAGAAGCCAGGTGGTGGGGGAGAAGGCAGGAGCCGATGCCGTCTTCCCCCCCTCCCCCCAGGCTTCTCCCCAAGGGCCGCGC